GCCCCCCCAGCCATCCCAGATTTGGTCAAGGACGTTCTTGATTTCTTTGCCACCCTACTGTAGCAGCTCCACCTACTCCTCCTAAAAAGTAAAAGTCAAAATGTAACCAGAGATTGAGGAGTACAGAAAAAACTGTTTTGTTTTCTCTTTTCAAATTGTAATGATGTTATCTTAACCATGATGTTGTTACACTCATCATTGTAGTTCACTCAAACATGCAGATCCAAATCACTTTATTCTCTGTACTATCTGCACAATAAACTTCATAAATAGAAAACGTGGACCAGATGTGTTTGTGTTTGTTTCTCAAACATTAATGAAGTTGTATAGGAAGGTGTGTATCATACAAATGATTAGATATGTACATCATAATAAAGCAGCATAAAACAGAGCTCAGGAATCACATCCAGTTTCAACACCTTCACTGTTTCCCAACACATGAGAGTGTCTGACTCTTTGAAGGACTGTGGTCAGAAGGAGCCACCACATGAACAGGTTTCATCAGATTATATTTGTACAGCACATGTTAGGTTGTTGTTTACTCTCCATTAAAAAGATTAAAATCAAGTGTGGGAGGTACAGCTGACTTTTTTCAGTTATTAGTCCAAATAAAGGTCTGTCAATTAATGTCTTTTTATGAGCTGCAACTTGCTTTGAATAATAAAATCAAAAAAACATTTGAATCAGTAATTGGGATGTAAGATTATTCACTGATGTTTTATTACATGTCCCATGTAGTGTTCAGTGTCTACCACAAAACGTACAATTAATCACAGTAACTGAGAGTACACTGCTGTCCCTTTTCCCTCCCTTGTAGATCTGCCCAGGTGTGCTGCATTACTTAACAAGGTGCAGTGCACCTGGCATGGAGGAGGTGCTTCAGAGCTCCTGTGCCAGCAGCAGAGGAGAGAGGCCTCCGGTGTGGGGACTGCTGGTCCTGCTGCCTCCCAGCATGGGATTTTTGTTGTCTTGTTTGCTTGTTCTACCTGTAAGTGCTTTTTGAAGTGTTAATGTGGTTATTTTGGGTCAGTGTTGGAGTTTTGTTCGCCCCATAGGGCCGCCGGGTGGGGCTCAACACTTCGGCAGTGACTTGCGGCATCAGACGGGGACGAAAAAAGCCTTGCTTTAACGTAAGCATAAT